GCGTCTTTTTTCATCCTTAAGCACCTTTCAAAGATTAGTAGTAGTAAGCCAGGACTGAGGCTTTTCAGAGCAGGAAGAAGTGTTTTAGTTGGACTCCTCTAAAAAAAACCTCAAACCGCCCAAGCTGTGCGTGAGGAGAGAGGTTGGAAAGGAGAGGAAGGCCGGTGTTAACGTTTACTGGCCGTGTGGAAGGTTGGGCTTCAAAATTTCTTATCTTCTGTTAAGATTGAAAAAATGTGATCTCATCCCGCTCCCCGGTGTGTTCACAGGCAGCCCGCGTCAGCGAAGTGGTACGACCGAAGGGACTACGTCTTCATTGAATTTTGCGTTGAAGACAGTAAAGATGTTAACGTAAATTTTGAAAAGTCCAAACTCACGTTCAGGAAGAGGGGGTGGACACGGGGAGGTCGAGGGGGTGGCGGCTTTTGAAAGCAGCAGGTTCTGTTGGTTCTGTTCGTGGAGGTTCTGTAGGATGTTGGTGCTAAACACAAATGTTTCTTTTCTCTTAACAGTTGTCTTGGAGGAAGTGATAACTTTAAACATTTAAATGAAATTGACCTTTTTAATAATATCGACCCAAATGTAAGTATCCTCCCGACTCGCCCCTTCCTGACAAACCCCGCCCGGGCTCAGGGCCGGTCCCACTGCGGGAGGCGGCTCCTCGGGCTGAACCCCCGACCCCGGGAAGCATCTCTCCTCGGGGTTACTCGGGACAAAGCATAAGTGGGTGGCTTAGGACAAACAAGTTTAATATCAGCAGTTCCTGATGAAGTTTGTGATTGCGTTACCAGATGTTCGCTCTTTTGTTTTTCAGGAGTCAAAGCATAAAAGAACAGACAGATCTATCCTGTGTTGTTTACGAAAAGGAGAGTCTGGCCAGGCATGGCCGAGGTTAACGAAAGAGAGGGCGAAGGTGGGTTTGGGCTCTGCGGTGCCTGTTGCCTCTCCTGGCTTTTAGTTTTGTTTAGTATCTGGGTCGCATTTGGTTGCGTGGCAGCCGAAGGGTCGCTTGCGGCGCTGCTGGGGGGAATGGTAACCTTCCTCTCCAGCAGTAGCAGCTCGTTCCTCGCCCTTAACTCGCTTCTTGTGTTGACGTGCAGCTCAACTGGCTCAGCGTGGACTTCAACAACTGGAAAGACTGGGAAGATGATTCAGATGAAGACATGTCCAATTTTGATCGTTTTTCCGAGGTACGGGAAGGCGCGCGCTGGAGGTTTGGGTTTCCTGCGGGGCTGGCAGGGACTGAAGGGATCTCATCCCACAGCCGTTGCCTGCTTGAACCCGTGCTGTGTCGGTGTTTGTCAAAACTGTTGGCGACTGCAAATCTAAGCAATTTTGAGATTGTTATGGTGCTCCCCTAGCTGACCTCGGGAGCGTGGTTGGCTTGACCCCGTAACGTCGCTGTTATCTCTCCGAACAGATGATGAACAACATGGGCGGAGATGACGACGTAGACTTGCCAGAAGTAGATGGGGCAGATGATGTAAGTGCTTCAGCTGTGCTAAACGCATTCCGGGCTGGTTCGGTGCCCTGCACATCCACTGCTGCTCCCTAGAGCTAAGCTTGTGCTCCCTCTTCAGCTGCTAAAAGCATAAATAGCACAAAAACCTTGTCGGGATGAGGGACGTCACCTGGTGACATCCCCTCCTGCACCAGCGCTAAGGCTGCGCTGGCGGCGTCGGCCACCGCTGGTTGTCGCAGCTCTGGGCAGCGAGGCCGAACGAAGCGCGTCCGGTGGAACCCGGAGTTCACACAGTCTCACGCTCTGGAGCGCGCTGGCCGCGAGGCGCAGGAAACAGCAGCTCCTCCGCTGGGCTGGCGGTGGCGGAGGGAGAAGCGCCTTTGAGCTCCACTTAACGTTTCTTTTTCTTTCCAGGACTCACCGGACAGTGATGATGAAAGTAAGTCGCCGTTCCCCTTCCTCTCCGCGCAGCTGGCGAGCGTTTGCCGAGCGCAGGGAGCTGCCAGATGTTCTGTCCTGTCAGTCTCGCTAAACCCTGGCTGCGAGCTCATGCTGGTGCCTCGCCCGAGCGGTGCGAGACGACCTAATCCAGGGAAAGCCTTTCTGCACAAGCATGAAATACCAGTTTGACCTTCCTGGCCAGCTGGAGTCCCAGGGAGGCTTTGGCTCGAGGAGGGGAGGCAGCGAACGGATCTTGGGAAGAGCTGGGGGTGAGGGCAGGAGCCTTCAGCTGCTCTGCGGCCGAGGGCTGGAGCTTCTTACCGGTGTCCCTTGGGAGAGGATGGGGCTGCCAGTAGTGGGGGGGGATTAAAAAAAAAAACCCAACAAACACCAAAACAAAAAAACCCCTGAACCTGTTCTTCTCTTTCTAGAAATGCCAGATCTGGAGTAAGGAAAACTGTCGTCTTCAGGGTCTGGGGAGAGAACTTCATCACAACATTTCATAATTGAGATAAGAATTCCTGAGTTGATAGCCCTCAAGGGAGATCCTGCATCCTTTTAACCCATTTTAAGCCCATTTTAAATGGCTTCACTGATGGTAGGTGTGTACTGTCGCACGGGGCGGTCTTAAGCCACGAGAGGCAATAACGTTATGCATGAACCGTTTTCCAGACTTCCAAAAACCCCCAGTTTGAGGTGTAGGCCATCGATACAGAGCAGTTGCAATAAAGTTTACAGAGCCTCCTTGCCTCGTAGCGGCTGTAATTGCAATGGGAGAATCCTGAATTCACACCAAGCGGTCAATGAGCTTTTGTTTTGTTTTGTTTTGTTTTTTTTCCC